TTTTATATATATTATTCTTTTCCTTTTCGTCATTTACATTTATATTGAATCGTGAGTAACCATGTATTTTGAAAGGCATACTAGATGCCAACAACTAAACTATATTTTCTTAATTGACATCGCAATTTGAGAATTGTTCTCATGCATGAAAAAATTGGTCACGTCCTTGAGTAGCCCTTTCCAGAGACACCTGCTGATGACTCGATTAAAGAAGAGGTGGCTACTGTAAGAAACGCAGTGATGACAATAGTACTGCAACGTATGTGATACTTGCAACTATGTCACTGAGTTACAAAAGCGACTTGAGAGTATAAATGTTAACACATAATTCTTCACTACAAAGAGTTGTATGATAATAATCATGTGTGGAAGGATATGAGACTTCCAAACAACTATACCGGTGCAAAATGACAGAGTAATCTTCAATCAATGCTTAGACACTGAAGATGATTGACATTGAGAAATGTCTCAATTAAGTTCAATTATAAACCATGAACTAAGTAGTGACTTTGTTCTGCAATCTCTGTCAGCTAAAGCTATTCACAACTAATTATAAATTTAACATGAATAAGCTCAAACGCACAATTATTGAGTTGCGTAACATGCTTAAGACTGTTAAGCTCAACATCAAAGTTAGTAGTGGGCAAGTCATTGATTCCTCTAAAGATATTAAGAGGAAGTCTAAAGGGACTTTGTGAAAGCATCCAATATGGTTAAGACCGTCAAAGCGAAGGACAATACCAAGTCTAATGACCCTTTGTTTCATTATAGAATGAAAGGTCATTGGAAGGAATATTGCGTGGCTTACGTCTACTTCACGAGTTTCTTAGGTATATGATATCAGGTGTAAATATCATATTTATACAAATATGGAGAAACTAAATAGAAGTAAACCACTGCGAAAGGGAGAAGTTGACATACACTTTAGAGATGAGCAAAGGTTGATGCATTGCCTGTATGAATATACTTCTTGCCATTGCCTTTTGGTTTAGTATTGAAATTAAAGAAATGTCGCTTTATACCAACCATAGCTGAAATATTAAAATAAATTTCATGTTTCGACATGAATTATTTTAATGTTAAGGACAATAGTTGTTCTTATTTATCTTGATAAAGATTCTATAGCTATGGTAAATTACAAAACGACGTTTATATTCTTTAATACTAAGGATTCTATAATGAGTATAGAAATTAAAAGACATAAATGCGATAATCTAATTATTACCAAAATCTAGCATGACAGACTTTGTCATTTAGATGAAATGTAATTCCAAAGTTACATAAAGATGTATACTTGGGATTAGTTGATTTTGACAAGTACAAATTATGCATGTCTGGCACAATGACCAAATCTTTTTTTACCTGATAAGAAGAAAGGTCAGTATAATTACTTATCTAATGCATGATGATGCATATGGATTCATGTCAATCAATGTCAGGTAATGTTTCTCTTATTTCATCAATGATCATAGATACTTGATGAAAACTCAAACATGAAACTCTTGAAAAGTTCAAGGGATTCAAACTAGAAGTAAAGAAATAAATAGGTAAAGATACCCTCACATTAAGATTCGATCAAGTGAGAGTATTTTAAAGGTAAAATCTAGATTATTTAAGAGAGAATGAGATTTTCTTGCAGTGAACTCCTTCACATACACTGCAACATAGTAGTGTATCTAAAAGGAGTAATCGTTAACTATTAGATATAATGCGATTAATAACAAGTCATGCAAATCTCCCAAAATTGTTTTAAGGTCACGCATTGATTGCAGTGTGCAACACACTAAATCATGTCCCATCTAAATTAATTAACAAAATTCTATACGACTTATGGAAATGCAATAGTCCTAGTTTATCTTATATGAAAGCTTGGGATCATGACACTTATTTGAAGCACTTTAAATCGGATAAGTTTGAGACTAAATCCGATAAATATATATTTGTGGGATATTCAAAGGAGACATTTGAATATAAATTCTATTATCACGAAAAAAGTCTTCGTCTCACGACATATAGTCTTCTTAGAGAAAATGTTTACTCTAGGAGAGGACAATGGGAGTAAAATAGAATTTGAAAGAGTTCAAGAATCCACAGATATAGTTAACCAAGTAGATAAATCCGAGTTTGATCCCATATCTGATATGTGACATACTTTGGATCAGGAAGTAAAGACTCCTGAGGACATTACAGCTCTATGTGAATCTAGTAGGATCATTCGACCTTCAAGAAGGTGCGAATTCATGATCATTAATCAGGTATTAGTGATCCAGGATAATGAACCTGCTAATTGCAACAAAATAAAGTCAAGTGTTGACTTAAAAGAGACAGCACGAGACCATGGTACTCGAGATGAACTCGGCGTATATGAACAAGGTTTGGACCTTGGTTAAGCCTCCTGATGGAATAAAACCCATAAGGTTTTGTAAATAGTTTACAAGGGAAATGTCGATATGGAAGTGGATATCCATATATACAAAGTAAGGCTAGAAGCAAAGGTTAAGTGTTGACCTTGGTGAAACTGCTCTCCTGTGACCTTGCTGAAGTCCATTCGGGTTTTATTTGCAACAGTTGCATATCGTAACTAAAGGTTAAGATAAGTCTCTATGGAGTTGAAATCTTCGATTTGATGGAAAAAGTCAAAGTGTTTGATTTTATCAAATTTGAAGACGAATTGTGTATTTACAAGAAGATAGTGGGAGCATTGTCGTGTTCCTAATATTATAGAAAACGATATCTCTATGTTTTAATCGTTGAAATAATGGTTGTTAAAGGATTTATTCATAAACAATATGGGATAAGCAACTTGATCTATAGAGGTAGATCTAGACGATTGCTTAACTCATCCGAATTTACATAGATGAAATCTTGAGAATCTTTCATATGGAGAAACAGGTTTACTCTTAAGCGGTATGTTGGAAAGGTTCCAAACGTGAAGCAACCGTTGATTCAATAGTAGAAACCTAATACATGGATACTTCAGAAGTAGCAAAGAGTTGCAATATGGATTATGATGTTCATAAATGAACTTGGAGTAGTTCCTGATATTGTTGATCACATACAATAGTAATGTGATAACAATAGAGCCATTGTGAAAGTAAAGGAACTAAGGTCTCATCAATGATCCAAA